ATTTGAAACGCTTGGTCGTATGGGAGCATTTCGAGAGGAGTAAGGGAAGAGTGACCAGTCGTAACTCGAGACACTCACTTCTGTATACCGTCGGGCACATCTCTGTGTAGCGTATGAAAGAATAGTCTCTTTGTCCGGTTAACCCTAATTCAATTTTTATTATCCCACTTTATACGCTAGTTAAATTGACCATCGGTCCCCCTGAGATGTAGTTAACCAATTAGGTACCAGAATAATAGGCATACTCCACTTCTAACGGCAGACAACTCTGTTCTGCCAACTGGACCGTTGTGAAATTCGAATAGTTAACGTCAGGTTAGTTTTCCCTGACCTTACAGCTTGATTGAAATTTTTTTCATTAGAAATCGCTAACAAGTTTTTAATCTGTTCCGAACAAAAAAGAAACAGAGATTAAAGATATGTTTCTCGTTTTTAAACTACATATGTCTGTTAAAATTGCAGTTTGGGTCGTTCGATACTCGAGCCGCTGTTGCTCGTGTGTCCGACCATTGGAGCTATCCGGGGTTATGATTCGCTTTGGTATGAAAAGCGGTGTTTATCTAGCAGAAAGATACGAATTTGGAAACCAACACCAATCTGGCTCGCTTCTAAATTATCACCAACATCTTCTTGTCCTATCGGTTTCAATCGGCTGTGTAAGAACTAGAGATAAGCCCTCAAAATAAAACATCAAATGATACTTCGTAGTGCATTCCCAAACTTATTCATGGGTTCGTTCATCAAGTCGATTTGTCCTCACGTAAAATCAGAGGTTTGATTCTCAGCTGGTTCGATGGAATCGCATAACTGAGAAGACCGAATCAGGACTACCTACACCGCTGTATAGCGCTTCGCAGCTTTTCAGTGTATAACGTAATCAAGCATATAGAGCACCATATGGTTAATTTCGCATTTCACAAGTTTAGTTGGATGTAAAACAAGAAGTATGGATGAGTGCGGAAGAAACCAAAACGAATGCAGTTCCAAGCGTTGAGCATTATTCGTCATACAATGAACATTTTGACACTATGAAAGGATAAGGAGGTATGAGATATCAAATGGTTACTTCTTTGTCTATGGTCCTAATTTTGTTTACGGAAATTGTGATCACAAGTATGTTCACAAAAATAGAGAGGCGTTTGACATGCACTTCTATTTCGTAGGCAAAACGGCACGATTACATTTGTGATCAAATCTTCGGGTTTTCCGAGTTGGATAGGGTGGGGAGTAGGGATAATATGTATTAAAAGAAAAGGCAATCTCGCAAAATCCCGCGATTAATGTCCAGGACGATTTCGCTGCACCATGGTGCATCATGACGAAACTGCGCCTTGATGTGGTCTGATGGCTTACGTGCCTCCATGACCCTGTGAGCTATACAGGATTCCTCCTCTAAGTCGCAGATCCAATCATGTCTAAAAGGTCAATGGATAGGGGCCACACGAAGCTCATTCTCACAGGGCTAGCTGCCTCGGCATCTCCTGGCTTCCTTTGACTGTCCACACTCACTCCTGGAGAGGTCACTCTCTCAAATAAACACGGGGAGGAGCAGTTTACCTTTCGAAATCCCCGATAGATGAACGGGTTACCTGAGACTTCCTCCTAACGGTGGGAGAAGTCTTCTCACTTTATTGGACAGCTACCGCCCGCCCAGGTGGGGCAACCCCCAGCCAACAAAATCTTCCGTCCACGTCCGGCCTTTCTCATTAGGTGCATAAGGCCAGGGGCTGATCCCAAACAGCGGACCGACAATCAACGCACCAGCAAACAGTACACTAAATAGAAACCCGAGGGCTTTTCGTGACAAGTCTCTAGACGATCGCACACGGGTGCTCCGATCACGTTTCGGCCTTGTGGGTCATACATTTGAGTCGAAGGCTCCGGTTAGGGTCCCCCCCAAAAAACCCTCATCGGTGTGGGCTGTCGCGAAGCCTGTTGTGCCCCAAAATCTCAGCTACTCTGTTAGACAACCCTCTTTCCCTGTTTGCACCGCTCATTAGTTATCACTCACTCGGAATGTATAGGAATTTTTAAGCCTAAATTCCCTTTTCCCTTAGTCGCTCTCAACATCCGCACGCCCTATTAGATCGATCAACAAACTGCCTCGACTAGAACCATTGAAACATTCAATTTCGATTTATTTTGTGTGGAGTACAACACCCTGCCTTAATCATCTCCCTGCATTCTCCTGACCAGGCATCACCTTTCGTCTGTCAATCGGTTCGGCATCAGACGCTCGTGGTGTTGCTTGTGTTGGTATTGTGCTAAGTGCCAAAAGTGAATACTCGCTCCTTAATTGGATTGTATTCAGTACACGACTGTGCTGTATGTCTGAACGGTTCAGTACGGATCAGCAGCTAAAGAACGAAGCGCCAATGCATGTTCGTCGTTTCGGCGTATGCACCGACCGATTACCTGAAATCAAGGACGAATTCTACAAGAATCTTTATGTATTACTCAAAAGCGTTCGATTAACGGACATCGTAGTAGTCTCCAGAGGCCTAAATGCTCAAGTGGGATCCCTGGACGAATCAGAAAGACTTCTTGGCGGACCGCATGCAATCTCAGCCAACTGGACGGACAACGGAGATCGCCCACTTCAACTCTGCGCGGACCACAAATTGTTCCTGTCAAACGCGAACTTCTCGCACAAGAAACGATACTGCCTTACATGGAAACCGCCAATCTCGTCACTGCGCTGGAGCCAGATCAACCACTTCGCCATCCGTTACCACTGGAGGGGATCGATTCAAGGCTGCTGTTCGTACCGGTCAACACCTGTGGATATGGACCACGCTTTATTGCGTGCTGAATTCGCCTGACGCCTGGTAAGCAATCACAATAAAGCCACCGCAACGGATACCCACGATGCAATGTCAGTAATAGTTGCAAATCCACCTTCGAAGCGGAGTTCTCCGATCACCTGGCATTTCAACCACCAACAGAAGGACTTAATAAACACAGGAAACCAACCAAGGAAGCTATGTAAATATGAATAAAAACAACGGCGGACTCTGGTGCAGGCTCAAGCACGAACGATGGATTTCGTCGACCTCGGCTGTCTTGATGGCTACTCGCAAAACCCTTTTTCCGGATGCAAATCCTTTAAACGCCAGCTCATCAATAGTTTGAGGAATGACCGCGAGAAGTGTTGGATAGAAAAGTGTCTAGAGATAGAGAGCTCTGCGGTTATTGGTAATGGTCGCACTCTTTTCCGTCCAATTAGGAATACAAGCCCAAGGAAAGCAGTCGTAAGTGAAGTAATTAAGTAGTCCGATGGTACACTAATTCATTCACCATCGGTAACGCCATCTGGGTCAATGGGCTGAATAATGCGGGGCTCAATTCAACTGGCCCCCATCGACATCGGACCTATCACCACTCACCTCGATTGGGCAAATACTCCCAGTTGATGCTAGTCCTCCAACTGAAATGGAGGTTTTTCGGGAAATCAGTTATCTCAGAAGGTGTAAGGCCCTCGGTCCATATGGGCTGTTCCCTTGAGCGTTTAAGGGTGAAGGTTCACCGTGGGTCTCGGAGTTGACGGGACTCCTGGGGTCGATATGGGAGAGCGAATAAATCCCAACTGAATGATGTGAATCGCTCATCATACCGATTTACAAGTAAAGTGACAGGTCCTCTTGTGAAAACCACAGAGAAATTAGTTTAATCAACATTGCCTCTCTCGGATCATACTCCGTCGATTGTCTGCCGCACATGAACGATGCACTTGTGAGAAACAGGCTGGTTTTAGGCCTGATCAAGGTTGCATTGACCACACTTTCGCTCTTTATCAAATTCTAAGACACAGACACTCCCTTCGTAGACCCACAGTTCCTATCTTGCTCGATCTGAAAGCTGCTTTCGATTTAGTCGATTCTGCCACTACCTCTCTGAAGGGTGTGCCCGAGAAGTCTATTTCAACAATACTATGCCTTTATACTGATAGCCGAATCCGAGCTCACGGCACTTTTTCGTGTTCGTCAGGGTTGCTCCCTCTCTTTTTGTTTTTAACTTTTGATATTGATTTGATTATGGAAACAGCTTTGGCTTAACACAAAATTAAATTAACATATGATGAAGCGTACAACCATAAAAGGGGAGTAGAAGTAAAAGAATACCCATGTCACCAGGGTAAGAACAAGCTAACATGAAGTTCTTTTTGTTGACACAGAGGTTGGGGCTTCCATCGGTTGACAGCAATCGTTTCAAAAAACTTTAACAATCTCGCTATTCGTGCCTTTCAGGCAATCGGAAAAGCTGTTTCGGTTGTTCTGGCTTTGCGTCATCAAAAGATGTCCAGGTATGGTTGATGACGGAGTTATGTAGTTGCATCCATCGTTTCTGTGCCACGAACTTCACCTCGATTGCGTCATCTAACTTCAAACCCATTTTTGCTTATGTTCATCCACCCGATTTCGCAATTTTCGTTCTGTTCTGTTCTGTAGTTCACTCCACATCCACATTGGAGTCGGTAGATCAGATGAGAGTTAGCATACAGAAGCAAATGTTCTTTGCCTGGCGGTGTGAGTTTTCGGGTTGTCTGATAGACGATTTGGGGGTCAGCTGCGTAGTAGGTTCGGGCGATTGCCGATCTCAGTCGCGTTTCGTTTTACTAGACGGCTTGTGTCAATATCTATGAATTAAACGCGCAACGTAACTCGTCATTTTAGGTCTGACGCAACCGTTTCTTTCGAAATTCTCGGCTTGCTCTGATTGTTAACGAACTCTCCGGGAAAACATTTTGTGCTAAAATCTCCCGAAGGTTTTGTGGTTCTCGCTCAACTCTCTTATTTACAGATCCGCCCTGTGTCAAGTAAGGTCCGAACAAGATCACCTTTATATTCCAAGGGCATAAACTTGTTGGTGTAAATGTTGTCCGGTCCAGTAGTCTTTTCTGATCATGCTAATTTCAGGGAAGTTGGGTGTTTTGTTGGCTTTGAATTTCGTTGTGAATTGAATATATGGATCTGTTCTACTGAGTTCATTGTGTACATTGTAGAACAACATCGGTGAAGTTGAAAAAGATGGGTAAATCTCAGACGTGAGGCAATCATTGTTCCAATGATAGGAAGCTAAAAACTCATGAGATACTATTCTCTTATTGTTTGTTAGGCTGCTCTACTGCCACGTGGTTCAGTGTCCTGTTATTTCCTGTTGGTGCCCGTAGGGGCTTACTTACCACTGCGTTTCACGACTGTACTTACTGATAACCGTGATTATGGTGCGGATGCAACTCTGTGTTATACTATGATATTCTTTCAGGACATATATTTGTGGATTCCATAGTGGACTCTAAAGTCATGAAGATCTGCTGTTCAGTGATGGAAACCGGCAACTTAAGCCCCGAGACTTGAAGTGGCTAACCATACAGGTCCCGGCTAAGTTAATGCTATCTAGTGAGAGCTAAAACATGCGTGCTTCTGTTCAGGCTAAGTACCATCAAGTTTCAGTTTCTCCGGTTCTTATGCACCTATCGGTATCGTTCATCGCTAACTAAAACGCACCAGATCCAACTGCAGACAAAGCGTGGAAAATCGGTTCTCATCGTTCGAGTGAACTGAATTCATTTTCGTCTGTTTTATTCTAGCCTCGTAGTTTGTTTGCACACGTTTTCTCACCAATTGAGATGACATTTTCAGGGCTTGGGAAGATATCGTCCCGGTTGATAAAACGTTTGCAAATAAGCTGCGAAGCTCGGTGAACAGGTTAGAATGGAGATCTAATTGTGCTACTATGCCCCGTGTGAGTAATCAGAACATATTTTTTCTACTGCCACAGCGTTGTTGTGACTGACGTGCTTAGCGTATTCTTGCATGGACCGGACACCGAAATTCGTCCGTACTAGCAGTTTCTATTTACTTTCATACCCCTCATTTTACTCTCCCTACGCCTTCCTCGTCACTCCTCCTCCCCCCCCCCACACGCGCACGCTACTATCGGAAACAGAAATCGATGGTGGATAAAGCGTTCTTGTTCGACGTGGCCAGTAAAATTTATCTGGCCACGGACTCCAGCGGTGTGGACATGCAGACGTATGAGTTGTGTTGCGATATGATCGACGTAGTCGTGGATATGGCTGCAATCTACGCGTGAGTTTCGCGCAATCCAATCTGTCATTCGTTTTTTTTTTTGCATTCGTATTATTTCACTTTGTCATGTCATGTTTCATTGTGTTGGTTTACTTGCCACACGAAACGGGAATGCACAAAGCGTCCAACTTGCAGCGAGAGGAACAATCTAATTATATATATATATATATATATATATATATATATATTTCACGCTTGTCTGAGGACAGACTGTGTGCCAGGAAAATCATGGTACAATAAAAAAGCTAAAACTTTCCATGACTGGCTTGTAAACTGAACACTGCCCAGACCAAGGCAGGTGAATTTTCTTGAGGAATTCACAACCGGAGCATTCGGTTAGCCAAAACCTGAGCCGGAAAGCAGTGGGGCGCTGTGTGAAAACCGCAGTCCATTGGGAGCCGTTGTCCAGTTCATCGGATCATACGCTTTTCGGATAGAATCAAACGTCCGAGGTGCCCAATACACCTAGATGCCCAGTAGAGCCGGTGATCATTGCCACAACCAAAAAGGCGTGAATGTGGTTCTTACGCCTCCTCTTGGTTGGTTTGGGATCTCGGCCAACTGCCCTAAGTGAACTACCAGTGGTCCACCAATACGGTTATAGCCCCGGATGTCGGCTTTTCGTCCTCTCACTTTGGTGCGAAAACACTTTCGCCACGAGAAGGCAGTGAGTAGGGCTTCCTCAGCAGAGACTATTTGAGACGCCTGGTGGTATGAGAGCACTTCGCGAGATGCAAGGGTAGGGTGACCAGCCGCAACCCTAGACACTCACCCCCGACCATTCTGGGGATTTCGGAGGCTAAGTAGAACCAGTTTGCCAACCAAGTTTTTATTCTGGAGGGTGTGTTGTCGAACAGGGAAGAGAGTGAGCATCGCGACATTCAGATACCATTCGAAAGGGTATTCGGCCGCCCGGGGGGGGGGGGGGGGGGGG